TCAATCAAAAGTTTATAGACCTAGAAACCAATTTCGAGAAAGAAAATTCAAAGGCTGTGCTTTGAACTAGTAGCCCAATCTTTGGAACTGTTTGAAATTATGGGTTCTACAGGCCACATTCTACTAAGAAAAATTTTTGTTCCGGGTCGATCAGACTTCTCAATCAAAAGTTATAGACTAGAAACCAATTTCGAAAGAAAATTCAAAGGGCTGTAACTTTTGAACTAGTAGCCCAATCTTGGAACTGTTTGAAATTATGGATTCTACATGCCACATTCTATAAGAAAATGTTTTTTCCCGGTCGATCTGAGACAATTTTTTTTTCTGGACAAAAAAAAGGCAGGCCTTTTTTTACCAAAAATCGACTGCACCAAAATTTCTCGGGAAAACACTTTTTCTTATTAATTTTGGTGCGTAGAATCCAAAACAATTCGCCGTCAATAACAAGGACTTATATTAAGAAGTTCTCAAAAGACTCACAGAGTCACCCGGCGTCCGACCAGAGATCCGGTCATCATATGATGATTCCACCAGGACAACGCACCGAGTCACTCCGCCTTCGTTGTCAATTCTTATTTGACCCAGGTCAGTGTTTCAACGGTGCCACAGCCCCGATGTAGTCCCGGCAGACTTCTTCTTGTTCCCAAGAGTAATAAATAAGGGAACTGAAAGGAAAGCATTTGGACAACATTAGAAAACCACGACGGGGTGCCTCAACAGCATTCGCCTACCCAGGGGGTATACAAACTCGTGGTGCACGATTTTCTTAGCGCGATGGCCATGGACTCGAATATGCACTATACTTTTTCTTTACTATAAGTAGCATACTATGGTTGAAATTTCTAAAACGTGTCTCCGTAAATAAGAACGTTGGCATTGCGCACTACATTTGATTTTTACAATATGTGATATGCTGGCCTTTATTTCCAGCTGTAGTTCAAATTTCAAAAAATATCACTACAAATAAGAAAGTTCTGGTTCTTACTATATGCGTTATAGCATCTGTGGTTAAAATTTCAAAAACAATATCTCAATAAATAAGAAAGTTGACATTTCTGCGCAAATGCACATTAACCTTCAACAGTTCTCTTGGCTGAGGTACAAAAGAACGAACTAAATATATTGAAAACTGTAGTAGGCGAGACTTCAGACGGACGGATAAAGTGGCCATAAGAGCGCTTTCCAACATGAGTTGGGAAATGCGCTAAAAAGAAAACAATGGCACACAAGTGAGAAAGGAAATGTTCTGTTGCACGGTGGTACTTTATGCGAGATACTGTAACCGAGATACAGTCTGTCGTCAAAATTCGTGTCCAATACACTTCACATGGGCATTCTAAACTACTCTTATGCAATGAGATAGGTACTTTTTCAGTGCCAAAAGTATGACATTTTTTTCCTACTACACACACACTATTTTCAAAACGAAAAACCGCAAAACTCTAACCTCAACCCCCCCCCCCCCCACCTCTCCAGACACTTTAGTATAGGGACAGCTAGAAGTAAAATCTAGTTATTTATTAAGAGTCTCATATAATAGTCACGACTACGACAAAGGTGTAAAAATGCAGTATGGGGTCTTATGGACTGCCTCTCTTACTATAGTTTGCGTCATTCTTCAATAATACTATCCTTGTTTCTAACCGCATTGATGTCAAATTGACATATGATTAAATGGAAGTATTAAAACAAAATGGGTGCGAACGCGATAGTCTCCTTGTGCCGTCATTGTCACATTTGGCAAGCATGTACTGTATGTCCATAAGCACCATACTGCATCGGGAGGTGCGAACGCGCTATAACAAGAGCACTTTTCAAAGTTTTCGCAATTTTCCGAATGTCTCTTCATTACAGGGTGCAATTTCGAATTTATCAAGCACACAATTTTAGGGTACTTGGGTATTGTTGATGACTCGAATTGTTGGGCAGTGCGATTAAAAATTAAATTCTGCATATACAGGGTGTCACCTTAACGCTGTAAATATTAACTCTGGTAGGCGCTTGTTGTTTCTTACGGTTTTAGCTTGAAGCCTTGCTATGAAACAGTAGTAAATATAACGCGATTGAATACTACACAAACTTGTGTTCGGTTTTTTGATATTATGTAACCGACCAATGTTCGCATTCCCAAACGCTGCGCCCCACTACTGTACCGAAACAAACTAATTTATCAACATGTATAAATTATGATTAATAAATAAAAATTGTATAAAAATAATGTCATGTATAAAAAATACTTATAGAATAAATTAAAAGTAATTCATTTCCACGGGGGTTTCCCGAATCGATCGCGCTGCCCCATCTTAGCAAATTTAGCTCCGTCAGTAAACTGAGCCTGAAAAATACAAGTGGATTAAACAATAGACATTCTTTCACCGTACATTTAGGTCTCCATTCTCGGGTGAATGCGGCTTTGATTTGTCACGTTTGGAATTTTGATCATCCGTCGGATTACCTGGCGATTTATTGAGGAGCTACAAACATAAAGCTAGTAAAAGAAATCGGTTAAAATGTACTAAACCATTTGGATGTATTTTTGCATCTCTTGATCGAGCTGTTGGCGCGTTTTCTGAGGCCTACTGGTCAGTGGGGTGGTCGCGCTTAGATTTAGGTCATCGTAGTCTTTTGGGGAGGCCAGATTTTTCTCAGCTTCGAACGGGTGAGGCTCCTCGCCGTGCAAGATTTCTTCCACGTTGTTGTACGATTTCGATTTTAAGGAGTTCAACTGATCGATGGTGGTTGTGCTTCTCTCTTGCGGAATGATGGGACTTTTGCTGTTAATTATCTTAAGCGCTTCCAGCCATTGCGCTTCCATTACTTTATGCAATTGCTTTGCGATGTGACTCTTACGTTCCTGTTGCTGCTGAAATTTAGACTGTAAAGTGTCAATTTGCTGCCTCATCTTCGATAGCTGTAAGTTATAGAGCTTCACTTCTTCTTTATGTTTTTCTTCAATTAAATGTATCTCCATGCCATGTCTAAAACAAGCAATTTGAATGATTACCCATTTCTCATGGGACATACTTTTCTTGTATTTGCTGAATGTGCATCGCTGCAGATCTGGCAACTGTCAACTCACGATTCTGCAATTCTTCTTGCAAAGAAGTTTCTGCTTTCTCCAACTGAACTTGGAATTCTCTCAGTTTCTCGCGTACCACCATCTCAACTTGATCCTGGTAAAAGTTTCTGAGTTCCATTTTCGATTGCTCCATTTTGGATTTACATGTTGCCAGTTCATCTCGAAGTGTTCTCTTAAAACGCACGTTTTATTTGGAACACCACACTACAAGTATACCTCGTTTTTTTTGCGCCCTTCTATGTCCGACACGAATGCTTTTTTTTCCTTTTCAATTTCTCTAATTCGTTCCAGTTCCTCATTTAGCTGCCGCTCAAGGTCTCTTTGGGTCAGCCTCATCGATGTTAGCTCCGTTTGACAGATTTCGACAGCTTTTTTACTTTGACTTACCTCCTTCCTTGCATCTGCCAGAATTGATTTACTCTTTAAAAAAATAAACCCTACTTATAACAACCTTCAAACTCAAATCTAAGATTAGCATACGGACCACGCATGTGCAGGTAAAAAAAACTAATTAATAGATAGACAATTGTTTGTAAATTGTAAAATTTCAGTATACAAACCTCACTTAACTCCGCTTCTCTTTCTGCTAGTATCCTTGAAAGATCATGTACATTTTCCTGTTCCAACTTGCAGCTCCCTCTCAATTCCCGACATTCCTTCTCCAACGATTGCACTTGATCGGCCAACACGTTATTCTCCTTTTCTAATGCGAGCAAGCGTTCGTGAGAGGTGTGCGCTAGAGTTAACGCCTTTGAAGATTCCTTTTCATAGAACCCGACTTTCTGCAAATAATAATCGGTAGTAGATAACAGTGGCAATCTGAGCCTACCTGAGCTGCTTCTGTGCTCTCCTGAGATAACTTATTCCGAAGATCGGTCACCAGTTGTTCTAAGCTGGCGTTCTTCTCGCACAGGTTATCGATCTTGGACGAAGATTCCTCCCAAGACTTGTGCAGTTGCGAAATTGCTTCATCCTTCGCCTTATCAACTTGGATCGCTACTGCTAGTCTTTCTTGCAGTTCCAGCGTTTTCAATTGGAGGTTTTGAATACGTTCTTCACAATGCTATTTTTAACAATACGTAAGTAGAGGTGTAGAATAGGTTTTCGGAGGAGTGTCCACTTTCCGCAATACATGAACATGTTTACCAGGTAATGAGCCTTTTCTTTTAAAATAAATGACAAAAGAAAGGTAATGGAAGTTTATTAATAGTTTCTGGTAGTCCTGCTGGTAGTCTCATTCACAAATGATGATCCTACTCGTCATCCGATCTCTACTTCCATCAAAAACAGATATTATATACTCAAACTTAATAACAACCTGCAAAGTGTGCAGACAATCATTTCAGTACGAGGGGAAACTACAGATAAAAGGAGGGATAAATGAGGGTGTACATACTGCTGTGTAAGCAACGCCCTGTACACTTTATTTCTGCCTCAACACCGACACTAATGATAGAACATCCTATATATGAAAATATTTCAATTTTAAATGCCAATTCGGCGGATTATTTACAAATACGCACAGAGTTGGTTTGTTTTATTTGAATTTATATTTCAGTGTTTGTTTTTCCTCTTAGAAATATGGTAGATGCGTCATTTTGCGCTTTTGTACACATCTGATCGTTGCGATAAGAAGTCTTATCAGGCGAAAATTAATTGACGCACGTGTTTTCTCTGTTAAGAGCATTGCGTGTTTAATTTGGTAGAAGTGGAGCGTTTGGCGCGTTCCGTTGTGATTGGCCATTAATTTAGAACTTTTTTAAAGAAGGAGTTTATTTTATGGTGGAAGTAGTGTTTGTTTAAATACGAGAGACAACGAGAAAACGCGGCTGTTGCTGCTGTGAGTTTTCGCGACGGTTTGCCGATTTGAAAAAGAAAGCACTGTTTTATCTGAAAGAATATTAGGAAACTGTGCATCTTAAATTTGAAAGTTTCTTGTCAGAAATTAGTTCTGATGTAAAAAAGATGGCACTGGTATTATTTTTAGCATTTTTCTTCTTTCTGTTAAGTTAGCGAGACACCTTATCAAAAAATCAGGAAGTGCTGAATTTGCCGCTTTTCTTCGATTAGTTGCGAAGCTTTTCGCACTTTTAACAATAACAAATTTATATCAACTTAGCCAGACACAGATGTTCAAAAATATAAGGGAGCCAAAAATTTTTTATTTCCACAGTCTACAATTAAATAGTAACAAAACGCGGCAAGTCTTGTACTGCTTTTTCCTCCGCTTTTTCTATATGGCCTGATATTAGGGATATCCGCTTGCCAAAAATTTTTATTTTCGTAACTAAATTAGAGAGCAAACAGATACACTAATGGAGCCACTACTTCTTCCATGCTAAAGTGGTGGATGTTACATAAAGATGCTCGATAAAAAAAGGCATATGATTAATATCTCATGCGTTTTGTTACCGCATATGTTGCAATGGCAATATACACCTAGCTACTGAATAATACACATTTGTTCATTGTTCACATTTATAAGTACTGTAACAAATAGTCGAGTCGCCATAAAAAATTAGTCATTAGCGATAATGAAAGCGGGTTTGGCGCATTATTTCCGGGAAATATAACGTGTGAATCGAGAAAGTTCTAGAATATTCGAGAACGTTCAATAATTTTCTAGAAAGATGGGCGTTTGTAATATAAGCAAATTGAATTGTGTATCAGCAGTACCATCGGTGCGAAGTAAAGTATTAGGCGCCCGCTTGCGTTATGTTATAAATTGTAAGTGATAAATAATAATGACTGTTATAAATTAATCCATTTCAAGACTACTGTATCAAAATGTATTGTTAGTTAATTGTAAATAAGGCAAGAGATTCATTTTGAGGGTTCGAAAGACGGCTTTATCAGGATCTAGGATACATTCTATTTTGCGAAAAAAATCCTGCCACTGCAAAGCAAGATTTTGCTGATGAACCATTGCCATGCTTTCTTTGAAAAATCTCCCTATTGTATGGGAACTAAATTATTTATGCCCGTTTGCACCGATAAATTTAAGCGGAGCTTAGCTTAAGCGTCCCTTAAAATCCATGGCAACGATTATTGAGACAATGGTTGCCATGGATTTTTAAGGGACGCTTAAGCTAAGCTCCGCTTAAATTTGTCGGTGCAAACGGGCATTAATCTACTTCCATTAAATATTACGACAAGTGGTATACAACAATTAAAAAAACTACTCAAGTATTCCTTACAAAAGAGGGCATTTTACAGTATTAATGAATTTATACAAGAGTCCCAAAACTCATTTGATCCTAATTAATCTGTGATATGTATGCACCTGACGCTTCTATAATTGTAACAACAATTTTTTAAAGAAATAGATTAAAATAAAAAAAAATAAAAAAACAAAAGTAAAAATTAACGTAAAAATTAACGTCTGGGCAGGTATCTTAGGTGATAGCTGCATTGGTCCTCTGTTTATCGAAGGAAATTTAACTGGAGATACTTACCTAAACATGCTACAAAATACCGTCGAGCCTCTCATCACTCATGAAATAGAGAATCAAATAAATCCAATTGACGGAAACATGAATTTGATTGAAGATTTCATACATTTTCAACAAGATGGGGCTCCTCCTCATTACTCTATGGCTGTTCGTGAATTTTTAGATGAGAAATTTCCGGGACAGTGGATAGGACGAAGAGGTCCTATAGAATGGCCAGCACGATCTCCAGATCTGACACCATTGGATTTCTTTCTTTGGGGTCATTTAAAATCGGTTGTGTACAAAACTGAACCAGCTTCCATAAATGATCTTCGCTACCGGATAGTCAGGGAGTGCCGTTCACTTTCCAGGGAAGTTTTAAAAACTGTTAGAAATGAATTTCAAAACCGTTTGTGGTATTGTTTAGAACAAAACGGTGAACATTTTGAACAATATATAATATATATACCAAAGAGAGTAGCTCGGGGAGTAAGTACCTACACCTACTGTTCAATTGATTTTCTTTTTCCAAAGATCGATGTCTGTTCTAGCAACTACCAGAAACTCATCATTTCATAAAATTCTGCAACTGCTGTGACAATCACACGTATAAATTTCCCAGATAAATGTACATTTTGGATCGGAGTGAACAACCCCCTCCCCCCACCCCCCTGCAATACTTACTTGTCTACGCATCTTCTCCTCTTGTAATTTATTAATAAATCTATATCGATCGGCATGTTGTAAATCTCCGCCACCTCCCCACAAATCCGAAAGGCTCATTAAAGCCAGATTATTTTTGGTGACCGGTTCGAAATCCGAAGAATTTCCGCTTCTTTGAGAGTTAAGGTTCTGCGATCGACTGTCCAAGCTCGAGTGTAGAGTGTTGTGCGATAATAGCCGTTTGTGTGTGTTGAGTACGTGCGCCGCATTTGCGTGAATAGCACTCGGTCCGATACTCGTTCGATATGCGGTGGTCTGTGTGGAGTCTGTGCTTAGAGATGGATTGCCGCTATAAGCGGATTCGGAGTGCTGTGTGGACAGCTCTGGCACGATCCCCGTTGTTGTCAATATGTGGAAATGTTGCGGATCTCGATCGCTGGTTTCTCCCTTGTGAGTGTCTTTATATAAATACTCGCGCATTCCCATTCCACGATCCGGCACAGATTCAATTGTATCACCCGCCGCCCATGTGTTCTCTTTTAAACATACACTTTCACTTTCATCCAATTTCTGACATTTTTGAGCTTCGACGGAATCTAGCAAGCGATCTATGTCTCTCGAACTGTCAACTTTTGAAACGGCTGCAAATTGTGGATTTAAATTTCTTGCGGTCTGATACTTTTGAATTGTTTTCACGTTGGATATAAAAGTATCAATTTCGTTAAGCATTTCTGTCTGTGCGGTCGACGGTTTCGAGCGAACTTCATTCTGAACATGTATTTTTGGCTTAATAGGCGAATATTGTGTAGTACTTGGTGTGTTAGGTAATGAGCTTAATCTATAAGATTTTTGCGGAGTAGTTTGATTGGTCCTCTGGTAGAGTTCTCGTGAAAGATCTTCCAAACTGTTGTACTTACGGGTACCAGACATTAATCGAGTAGATTTGATATGCTCAGTAAAGTTATCTAGGCTAGAACTTGGAGTCGAAATGGAATTCACACGCGTTTCAAGATTACTAACTTGCGTTATTAAACTATCTACAATTCTGTAGTATGGTCCGTAGGGTTTCGCTGCATCTTCTGCATCAGAATGTATTGTAAACAGATCGGGAGGTATCAGAAGTAGATTGTCCGTATCATCTGAATCGCTCATACCTTACAGAGTTATTGCAAAGAAATCTCCTAAGCGAAATCATCACTAATAATGCAAGAATTGAGAATTTCTTAAAAAATATTAATTTGTTTGTTTATTGTGGTTATTCACCTTGACAGCAACAACACTGACATGCAAGACACCTGACGGCTGACAACCGAACTGAATACATACTAATTTATTTATACTTGTCACTTTTTATACTGGCATTCAGTTTTCTTACAACACTGCAATAGAACAAATTTGAAGCTCTAACTTATCTGATTTCATTAATTTAAGTAATAAGAAAGAAAATGTTGAATATTTGTTTATGTCAGTGTAGAGCGTAATAATGATGAAATTGACAATTTGTTAAATTAGGCAACCAACATGACTTACAGTCGCTCTCAAATGGCAGGTTTTGCAGGGTATCAGTATTATCATTGAATTTAGTTATAAATTCAATGGTATTATTTATAACTCATTCCATTTGCTCTAACGCAATTGCAGTCTATACCAAGGATACAAATGTGTATCTCCTTACCTGCCTTGTTCGCAAACAGCAGGCTACCCATGGCACCACAGGCGAGTTGGAACAAGAGTGTAATGTAAATTTATTGCCCGATTCAATTATATCAATTGTTGCTTAAACAACGTTATCTAGACGTTATTTCGGTCTAACAACCAAAAATAATGACAGGACATCCTGTATATGAGAATATGTCAATTGTTAAGGGTAAAGCTTTGTATTTGAATTTGTGTTATTTTTCCTTTTAAAATTGTTTGTAATTGCGTTTTATTTTCTTGCTTATCGCATTTGTAAATTGTTTATTTAGATTTGTGTGTTTGATAGTGGAATTCATAGATATTACTTAAGTTAGACTTACACTTTACTAAAGTGCACACATTAGTTTAGTTTAAGCTGTTTACTACGCCCTGGCTTACCCTCATTTAGCATACGGTGTGGCAGCGTGGGGTGCAGCTTCGGAAAGTCACAGAGTGTTCATCCTTCAGAAGAGGATCATAAGATTAATGTTTGGCATTAAGCCGCTACATTCACATAAGGACTCTTTTATCAAAAATAGAATTCTCACATTCACCAGCATTTATATATACAAATTGTGCAACTTCGTATTTAACAATCGCAAGCTTTTTGCCTCGTTAAATACCAACCACAATTATACCCTACAAGAAATGCTAACGCACTCGCTGTTCCCTTTCATTGTACCGCAAAATTCGAAAGAGGACCACTGTACACAAGCATCAAAATCTTCAATGCCCTACTAGCCTTCATTAAGGATTTGAAAAACAGTGCTCAATTTAAAGCCGCCCTCAAAAGGTATTTGATAGCTGAGTGCTCTTACAAAGTATGTGATCTCAATTCTAATGTATGACAACTATAGTATAGTCAATTACTCTGTGATAAATTTATTTGACTGTTTGTTTGTATGCATGTATGTTTTCCTTGTGATATATTTGACAATATTCGTTTAGATATAACTGGACAATGTCTATGTCAATGTTTTGTTGATCACCAGACAATAAATTATTATTATTATTATTATTATTATAAGCAGAAATTTACTGCTAGTATTCCTACTTAACTGTCCGTATTTCGCGTATTGCTAGGTACGCGTTACGTTAAGTATGAGTAAAGTGTAAGTCTAACTTAAGTAATATTATAAATTTCACCCTTAAATGCAATTGGTAAAGCAAAAACAGTATAATCTATCATCATTCACTGGCCATCCTTCTAACTATGACAATTCAAAGGGCGGTAACTTTAGAACTAGTAGCCCAATCTTGGAACTAACCTTCATCTTTTCCAAAAATCGACTGCATCAAAATTTCTCGGGAAAACACTTTTTCTTATTAATTTTGGTGCGTAGAATCCAAAACAATTCGTACTTTTTCGATCAGATTTCTCAATCGAAAGTTATAGACTAGAAACCAATTTCGAAAGAAAATTCAAAGGGCGGTAACTTTTGAACTAGTAGCCCAATCTTGGAACTGTTTGAAATTATGGTTTCCACAGGGCACGTTCTATAAGAAAAATTTTTTTCCGGGACGATCTGAGACAATTTTTTTTTCGTGGCAAAAAAAAAGGCAATGTAAAACCTTCCTTTTTTCCAAAAATCGACTGCACCAAAATTTCTCGGGAAAACACTTTTTCTTATTAATTTTGGTGCGTAGAATCCAAAACAATTCGTACTTTTTCGATCAGACTTCTCAATCAAAAGTTATAGACTAGAAACCAATTTCGAAAGAAAATTCAAAGGGCTGTAACTTTTGAACTAGTAGCCCAATCTTGGAACTGTTTGAAATTATGGATTCTACAGGCCACATTCTATAAGAAAAATTTTTTTCCGGGTCGATCTGAGACAATTTTTTTTTCGGGGCTCAAAAAAAGGCAGTGTATAACCTTCCTTTTTTACCAAAAATCGACTACACCAAAATTTCTCGGGAAAACACTTTTTCTTATTAATTTGGGTGCGTAGAATCCAAATCAATTCGTACTTTTTCGATCAGACTTCTCAATCAAAAGTTATAGACTAGAAACCAATTTCGAAGAAAATTCAAAGGGCTGTAACTTTTGAACTAGTAGCCCAATCTTGGAACTGTTTGAAATTATGGATTCTACAGGCCACGTTCTATAAGAAAAATTTTTTTCCGGGACGATCTGAGACAATTTTTTTTTCAGGGCAAAAAAAGGCAGTGTATAACCTTCCATTTTTCCAAAAATCGACTGCACCAGATTTCTCGGGAAAACACTTTTTTTTATTAATTTTGGTGCGTAGAATCCAAAACAATTCCTACTTTTTCGATCAGACTTCTCAATCAAAAGCTATAGACCAGAAACCAATTTCGAAAAAAAATTCAAAGGGCTGTAACTTTTGAACTAGTAGCCCAATCTTGGAACTGTTTGAAATTATGGATTCTGCAGGCCACGTTCTATAAGAAAAATTTTTTTCCGGGACGATCTGAGACAATTTTTTTTTCGGGGCAAAAAAAGGCAGTGTATAACCTTCCATTTTTCCAAAATTCGACTGCACCAAAATTTCTCGGGGGTAAGGTTAAGGATGGGAACGGAGTTAGGGTACTGAGAGGGAAGAATACTACTCTAGCATTCGCCTCGTAGATTTCAACATAATGCTACTAGCATTATGCGAAGCTACCTACGTTTGTGGAAAACCCTCTGACAAAACCCTAGACAGAGCAGTCGGCAGGGGGATTCGAACCCACAACCTCTAGCAGTCGGCAACGTACTGCGCCACCGGTTTCGGTTGTGAAGTAGAAGAAGCAGCTTCAGTAGCGTTAAATAAACCTTGTTACGCGCACCACCCAAGTAGCTGTTTATCGGAAGATACTCGCTCCACTCAAATCTTTTCATTTTCCCGGAATTTCTTCGTATTTCCTCAAAATCTCCTTATTCCGACTAATTGTTGTTATATCCGTTACATTGACTGAAGTGTTCCCAATTCTATATACACTATCAATATTTCTTTAGAATTTACCTCTTATTTTCCTTAGTTCTTAATTTTTATTCTCCCAATTTTCTCCGAAAGTTTTATTTCGTCAATATATACCATCAAGACATTCTCCCAAAACGTCATTTAGCTACCCCTACTTCATCCAAAGTTCCTTAAAGTTTGTTCACTTTTTATACGAAGTAAATATACTTTTCGCAGAAATTCATCCAAACTTCTTGCTTTCCTTAAAAATTAACTTACTATTTCCCAAAATTTGCTCTGCGTTTCCCAAGAATTCCTTCGCATTTTCTCCCTCACGAAATGCTTATGATTCTTTAGAATTTCCCATAATTTTTTCAAAGTTCTTGTATCTTAGTTCAATTTATGCTTGTATTGACTTATATATTTCCTCCATTTTTTATGCGCAGTGTATATAGTTTCCTTAACATTTTTCGTTTATTCTCCAAAAATGCTCATCTTATTTCTTGAAAATTTCCATAAGATAAAACGGGATGGAGGATCTCGGTTAGGACATCGTTTGCGACACAGACGTACTACTTGTCCACGGTTTTTATTGCACTAAAAGTACACATGCAACATAATATATCAGATCGAATCCAACAACCACACTAAAGCGTATAATGACAGCTATTACACGATTGTTTCCATGGCATGCTATAAAATTTCTCACGATTTCTGTTCCACTCGATGCGTAAAGGGGATTGTTTCCATGGCATGCTGAAACGTTTGAAAAATTGGCTTCTTTGGTTCTTGTGTGCAAAATTCCAATCAAAAGTAACATTGATACTAACCATTGAATTTATAAGGATAAATTCCATCAAATTCAATTAAAAAACATAATCATTTCATTTCAAAAATTTAAGTACCTATTAGTGTCCCCCAGAAATAATGTAAAACATTTTAATTATGGCCGTTTTTGGTTTTTTTTTGGTGCATTAAATTTTGGTAAAAACTGTAGGCGGTACAGCTTACGGCGTTGTTTTTTAAATTACACTTAACTCAATAACGCACGATAAAAGTATCACCACAACTCCAATTATCCACCCAATCATGAAGCGCTTCACTTTATTGGTTTTAATAGGGATAAATTAAGATAATTCTATTCAAAACAACTGTGAGGTGTACATGCATTTTCCTTCTAAATTTTCTGGAAACTGGTTCAAAAGGGAATGCAAATTTGTGTGTCGTATCGTTTTAGGTAGTATTTTGATGTAGGGGGTGTTTCGAAATTTCAGTTTGTTTCTTTAAGCCGAAGTTAATTCAAAACTGAAACAAATGCACTAAAATTAAATGGTACCTACTCATTTCATACGAACTTGGGTGATATAAATATAAGTTATATTAAAATTTCCTAATCCCGTAATCGGTTTTTAAAGTTTATACTTACTAATGCGACAACATTCTCGACACTTAATTGACGATCAGTGTGCAATTGTTAAAAAACCTTCAACACATGTTAAAAAGCGGATTTAAGAGTATTAATCAGGTTTCGAAAAAGAAATGCTGTCGATCGTATACAGGACCATACTCAAACAATGGTTTATAGTAGGTTTTGGAAAAATTCTAATTTTACTTACTGGCTTAGTGGGCACTTTTTTTTGCAATTGAGACATGAATTGATTCTAGTCACTTGCTTATCCAACGTGTTCGAAGAATCTTCTTAAGGTCCCTGTCCTCCATGATGGTATAATTCGAAACTAATATGTATTTAGTGACCTCCTGCCGTACACATTTTACACTTTACACCATGGAGTACTAAACCTTATAATTAAGTCACAGTCTACGCCGATCTTAATTGCCTTCACTCCCATCATTGTAAAGGAGCTTAGGAAATCATTCCAAGTCACGGCTAAAGACTAGTTTTATTACCTACTTTATATCCATCATTTAGATTTTAGAAACACGTGGTGTTGAGTAAGCAAAACAAACGTGACATAATAAATTAGCATACAATGAGCAAGGGGATTTCTTCGAACAGTAGCATAAGGGAGTGTCTTCATCTGGTAAAATTAACTAACGGCGCGAGAGAATTGAATATTAACTGAGGTTTTTCCTAATTGAAGTTTAATTATCACACAATTGTGTGAAATAATGATAACTGTTACAAAATCATTTAGAAATCCATTTGTGTCTCTTATCAAAGTCCATCCCCTCTCTGTTAAGCGTAAAATCCAGTATCGAATTGATGTCAGACCTGACATGTTAGTACTGAGTTTCTTCAATAGCAAAAGTCAACAATTCATGATTTCCGTTTAATGAATAGAAAAGTACAGAGGTGTTTTTACGCAGTTTGATGGTGCACTACCACGTGGATATGGCGAAGAGTGACATCACACTGTTTATATTATGCTGCATATTAAAACTTGTTCACTTTCAATTAATTCCGTCCAATCCTTGCCCAAATATTTTTCGGTACCAACAGACTGATGGAGTAGTGCATGGACGAGTGGAATTTACGAACGACGGTAGTGGAGTTTATGCACTAAGTGTCAATATGTCTGTAGCGGTTTTCGTTAGTAATGACAAGGTAAGTTGACTTCTGGTTATTATTTGCACAATTAACCTTGAGTAATTTAAATGTCGAACAACTTGTTTCGTGCATTGAATTATAATTCCTGTACTTGCGTAAATTGCAGAATATTCGTCTTCACTTACTGACTTCGCCAAATGACGTCGCAAATGGCGCTCCTCTCGTTTACAACGTCTACTTTCCAATAGAAAATGCAATACCGAAACCAACCAAAATCGTTTTCAATAACGTAGTTTATTGCTCATCGCCTCCAGCGACATGTATATAATTAAAAGCATACGATCTAATTCTGCATTGCAATTTCAGTAAGACCAGGAGGATACGTGACAAACTTATGGGCAGACACCTACTTGAAGATCACTGTGACTTACACAGAAGCACCAAAGTTTCCTGCCCCATCCTTTACCACCCCACGCCCGTTCATTAATTACGATGAATGTGGAGTATCGAATGTAAAATTCCGACCACTTGTGACAAACGGCGATGAAGTCCTCCAAGGACAATTTCCTTGGTTGGCTGCGATCATGTATAAAGTTAATGGAGAGTTTAAGTATAGATGCTCTGGAACTCTCATATCTAAACGTCATGTGATTACTGGTAAGTAACCAAGAGACAAATTTCGTTTATTCTATTTTCCTTGATTTAGCCGGTCACTGCTTGCAGTATGGGAAGGTACCGTTGTTTTCGAAGGACGAAGTAATAGTCGTTCTTGGTATCACGAGTCTCGAGAATTGGCGCTCAACGGGAGTGTTGTCGGGAGTGGAAAGTTTCAAAACTCATACAGATTTTAAAGAGACCAGTGCAGATGTAGATTTTGCCGTAATAACTCTTGATACCGAGGTCAAATTTGGAGAAAATATTCGTCGGGCGTGTTTGTGGGAGGAGAGCGATGATTTGGATGTGATCGTTGGTTTGGAGGGTACGGTTGCCGGATGGGGTTCGGAAAATCCGGACGAGGAGTATGCCAAAGATTTAAGAAGTATTAATCTTCCCATTGTATCTCAAGCGGTTTGTTTACGATCTGATCCCGGATTTAAAACGATTGTATCTTCAAGAACGTTTTGTGCCGGTAAATACTTCGCCTGATGAAATTGTCACGTTCATTTCTTCTTTTAGGGAGCATTAATGGTAGGGGGATATGCACTGGTGATAGCGGTGCCGGGTTTCTGATGTTACGAAGCGGACGTTGGGCTCTTAGAGGTGTCACTTCTTTAGCCCTTAAAGAAAACGTTAACTGTGATCTTGACAATTATTCAGTATTTGCGGATGTGGCAAAAGTGAAAGCGTGGATACGAAGTATGTTAGCGTAATATTTTATTGTGATTAGGTAGGAAATGTAAATAAATGTTTTGAACTTGACTACACCAATGAATTGCACAACACAGCACTATGTAATGAATACCATTTCTGTCAAAGATCTTTAATAAGAACAATTGTAATCCAGTGAATCCAAAAGCGCTCTTTTGAATCCAATAATTTGAAGCAATTATGCAGTATATGGTGGGTGGTCGAACATATTATGTATCTAAAAATAGGAAAATAGCTTTTCTTCATTTGCATATGATACTAACTATTTTTTTTTCTGTATTGTCTCAGTACCTACCTAAGAAGTGATTTTTACACCAGGTGTTCTACGTCAAATTTGCTTCACCAATATATCACTTTTCGGAAAAATGGTCGAGAAAGTCAAATTTGAATCGATGGGGACCACATTTAACGTCATTTTTCAACGGTAGGTATTTGTTCTAGTATCTGTTGCATAAAGGGCTGAAATTCCTTTCGTTTAACCATTGAATTTATAACTATCGTTTAACAAAGTTTTGAAATCCTGAACTGAAACTGTAATTTCTAAAAAAAAAATGAAAAATTCTTAGCCGTCGGCTAGCCCAAATCTTTATCTCACTATGAATTATAAATACCCTAAATCCTCAAATTTGAATAATACACACCTCAAAAATTTTTATTCCCCTTTATAAGACAAAATCGGGAATAAATGAATCCTATTTGGCAGATTGATGTTTTGAAATTAAAAATTTAATGAAATCGAAGGCTCTCAAATTTTCAAATTACTAATATCAGAAATTTAAAATTGATAGAATCAAAACTTTACGTTACATTTTCTACAAATGCTTTTGTACCTTAATTCATAAATGTCCTCAATATTTACTTTGACAGCTTAAACAGAACTAATGGAATTAACCTGTTACTACGAAATTTTTCTTGACAATAAATAAAATAATTGTATATGAACTATCTTTCAAGAAAACGCATTTGGTATATCATCGGCAATTAATTTCTCTGGTATTTAGGTTGAGAATTTTGTCTTGATTATAATGGGCTCAAATTTCAGTGATTGTTTTTACTTGTAAGTGGAAATAAATCTCTAAGAACGTGATTTGCATACATCACTCAGTTTATTAAACTTTTTTTTATTATTGAATATAATCGGAAAAAATCCTCACTAAGCAATTGCACAAAAATGTAGTCTAGATTGAATTAAGTTAATTGCTGAAATATTGACAGTTTTTTAGTTACAATTTCGCCCCCTTATACGATTTAATTCCGTCTCCCGCGATTTATTTAATACCCTACGAATGCGTGGCAAAGTTTTTTATCACATAAATTTCTACAACATTGGCAAGAAAATTTCTCACGCCAATCTCGCACCTTAATTTTAAATTCCCTTTTTAATGAAGCATGACGGTCTCTCCACGATCGCTGAGAGATATATAGTCGGTATTATAAAGCCATTAGCCGGTATTATAAAGCCATACTTAACAATGTTGTCAGCGAACGGTGTTGTTAAGGCATGTGATTGGGCGTTTTCGCAAAGAATAACATCATGCTACTGACAGCATAGTTAAGTATGGCTTTACAATACCGGCTATTAATCTGTTAATTTTTTCAAAGTCTCTTTAAATTACTGAGTTGCTTCTCACGCACACAAGTGGCGGATCGTTAATCTCGACAGCCATGTTTAATTGTTTATTGGTTAATGTCTTTGGTTACTACCAATCCCAGAAGATTTCAATGCCGTTAATAAAGCCTACGCAACTTAAAATTGCAAATTCTGCAGGTTTCAAGCTAGTGGTTTTTTATCGTGCTGAATGCAATAAGATATCCCCTTAAAAATTATGTAATTTGTGATATAACCCAGGGAGCTACAGGTGATTAAAGAACAAAAGCTCATGCAAACTGAATATGTAAAAATGGCGCATGTTCGTTGACTGCAATCATCCAAATAAATTCAATACGACCAATAATTGCTTGGAAAAATTTTAAACCTGACAATCTCTACTTTGATTTTTTCTGTGAAAGATTGATAATTCAATCCAATTTAAAAGCTACCGCCACAAAGTCTAGGTTATACCTTTAGGACGGAAACATTTGAAAACTCCTTTCATTCTCTAGTTACTCTGATATTTAGTTTAGCTTAGGGAGCGGTTATGTGTTGTGGAGCAGCGGTAGAATGAATGATAGAAGCTTCCCAAATAGTTCTACTGAGGATGCTGTCTATTTTTTCAGTAAAGATAAACCCAACAAACCCAAGCAGAGGAATGGTCACGGTAAGGGCGGTGGGAGGGGCGACAAATCAAAAAAGTGATCGTACTTTGTTGCGGTGGTGTGGAGAAAAAAGCATTTATGGACTACGCCAAACTAATAAATGCTAGACTACTCAAAGAGAAAATTATGCCTGTCCCTTTGCGAACTTCAGGACAACGTTGATGATGACACCACGGGGATGAAAAAGATTTGCAAAAATTTATTGCCGTGCTCAATGAAACTTTACCGGTACAAGTCACTGATGTAAAATTATACCTAGAATTGAAAACTCAAATGTTGATTTTTAGGGGAATTTTTGATGAAAAAATCAAATATCCAGCCCTTAATGGTTTCGAATGTTTATGTGTTGCTATGAGAGTGATAGTAAATACATAACAGATATTGAAAATTGCAGTCATGTTGCCTTTTGCCATGTTCAATTATCTACATGTGTATTTCCTAAAGGCAACTTTATCCGAGAGACACTAGAAAGTCTCATTAATACAATATAGTGCAATAAACACAAATTGGCTGATACCCCTGTCAATTTAAAGGTGCACAATTTACCAAGGGGGAATTTTCCGTGGAAAATCTTTAAAAATCTCTTCATTAATGTTCATTAATCAAGTTAAAGGGAAATTATTCGAAACATACCAGAAATCTTGAACAGAAATGTAGGTACATAAATTTGAACGTTTTAGAATACTATTGTACTAGTACCTTTATGGTTTACAGAAGTGCTGTAACGTAATGTTAAAGGCATACGTGTACCACTAAAAAAACGAGTGCCGTATATTCTTTTTTTAGTCCGAGAGAAACGAAATTTATATCCAGAGCTGGTCTATAGTGCAGAATTTATAGGTTGTTAACGTATAAATATTGTACTTCTCCCATTTACTTCAAATAATGCGGCTGTTTTAACGTCTATTTTAATGTCTACTGTCTACTGCAAACTTAGTGGTTTGTTCCCATATTTACATTCGTCTTATATGTCATTGAATGAATGACTCTGAGTTTTTTCTGTAAATTGCTTGTTTATGTTAGGCAGTAAATGTTAAAATAAAACTAGTAGAGGAAACAATGCATTGTAATTTGTAATATCGTGCAACATACAAGGGCAGAAATATTCTTATTATGTCTTACTATCACAGCTAACACTGAAATATTTTCCGTTTCTGATTTTTCCATATAATCTCTCTTGCCTTCTTGACTTAAGGACCAGCGTTTCTTCAACATCGGTACTCCTTCCCGTTTTGTGTAAATGTAGTACGTCTACTTATATCGTAATTCCTTTATTGGACGCGGAGGGAGTCAAATATTAAAAATAGGGTGTTTTGAGGTTACTTGTCAATCGAAAATGTGGTAGTTTAGATTTACATTGCGACACGTCAAATTTGACAACTGTATGCTACCGTTTTCATTATTTTATGGCATTTTGCTACATTATCCCATAGAAAATAGGTACGTTAGTTTCATAACGATCAATTATAGAATCATCACTTTCGTAGGTCCCACTGTGATATTCTGTGTCAAATGTTACCAAAAATGTCATCGAGTTTACCAAGAAAAAGTAAACAACTTATTTCAAATCGTGTTCGTTATTTTGAACGAGAAAAAATAATGGTGGCCAACTTTTAGACTGAAGTCGTTGATGTAATGCTGCCTATACCTATACGTCTTTCGCTATAGAAACCGTTGCACGTCATTCATTTGTGTATCAATTTTAGACATATGCTGCAACACTGCAACATGTACAAAAAAAAAACAAGTGTGCGAAATCTATAGAAAACTTGTCTGAAATTGATTCATAAATCAATGACGTGCACCGGTTTTTATAGCGAAAGACGTATACATATGCTATTCCATTGTTGCATGATACTATGTAAACGTACTTAGTGATGATGTCATAATACACCGATGACATGCACGCAAACTAAGGAAAATCCGTATTGGTTTCGAGGAAATAATTATAGTGCTTATAGGTGAAGTGGTCATTGCAAACGAATTGTGCCACGAATTATATCGATTTTAACAGGCAGATGTCCTTTAGGAGTGGATTATACGGTTACAATTATGAAAAAACGTCTTCACGGTTTCGGGTAACGCTTCCATTGGGTTAACTTCGGAAGAAACTTGCGGCTATACGAACCAACTCTAAAATGGTAATAACGGTCAAGACCTTTTTGAATATAAATTTACATTCCATTGAGACAAGTCAGACTTTTCTGTTGAAAATAAGCGCGTATTTTAATGTTTTCGGATGCATCTTTCCAGTTTAGTATATACGATTACGGTTTACTCCGAACGGTGTACATAAATACCAACAAGATAGCGAAAAATACTCTAGAAAGATTCATCGAAAAATTTGATCAAGAGGTTAGGTAGTCTAAAGACGTTAATCCTTTATGGTGCCGTACGACCAGAAATGGATAGATAATGTGAGCAATGCAGGCACATATAAACGAATTGCCTGTAAACGGGATTACTAAATGACTGTAAGACCACTCTTCACACACAAATTACCCATAATCACTTCAAAGTAATCGTACTTTACACAGCTTCTAGTTTTGATCGTGACGGCTGTTTTTCTCGTTACAACAATTCATTGCAAAATGGTGCTGGGTACCTTACCTACGCTACCTATAATTTAAGACCGCGAACGACCTCAAAATACAAAGACCATTATTCCTCCTTAAATTTCCGCGTTAATCCTATTTCGGGTAACTGATTTATGTTATTGTCCATAATTTCCCATTGTGATCATCACTAGCGTCATGCAGACAATCACGACCGGTTTCGTTTTATTGAATTAGTTG